CAGCTCCAGTACCCCGCGACCGAGCACCCCCAGACCGAGCACCGCCAGCGGCTGCACCTCCAGCTCCAACACCAACCGAGTCCACAGTAACCTGTCGCGGAAGTGCCGAAGGCTGCTGAGGGGACTGTGAGGAGGACTGCGGGGAGGGAGACGCTACCTGACGCGCGACCGAGGGGAGAGGGGTAGCGTGGGACACACCAGACGGGGCAGGACCAGGGGGGGGCGGGGGTACCGGAGGAGCGGGAGCAGGAGGAGGAGAGGGTGCGAGGAAGAGAGGGGGAGGGGGTACCGGGAGACCTCGACAGGGGTACCGGGTGTAGTAGGACACGGACTCGTCAAACCGGACGTCACGGGAATCTAGGAACTGGTGGAGGGGAGGGTGGTAAAAGGACCAGTCAGCAGAGTCCACTGGGAAACCAAGGAAGACACAGGGGACGGCGCGTGCCGAGAGCTTGTCCGCGGAGGTGTCGCGAACAAGTGCAAGGCAGCCCCAGACTCGAAAGGCCGACCCAACACCAGGGGATCCAGTCCAGAGACTGGTCGGTGAAGCCTCGGGCCGCGAGACACGCGGCTGGAGGTTCAGCTGGTGTGCGGCGTAGCGAACCGCGTGAGGCCACAGAAAATGGGGCGCACGGGCATGAATCATGGACGTGCGGGCGATGTCCATGACCAAGCCTATGCGGCGCTCAGCAACCCCATTCTGCTGTGGGGACTCTGGCAGCGTCCAGGACTGGGTGATGCCCTGTTCGCCGCAGAATCCGCCGAGAATGCCGGAGCGAAACTCGCCCCCACGGTCGGAGTGAAGACAACTGACTCGACGACCACGAGTGCCCTCAGTGGCTAGAAGCCACCTTATCAGCGTAGCAGTCACCTGGGACTTCTTCGCAAGAGGAAACACTGTGGTGTACCTGGAGAAGTCGTCGACGACCACCAGAAAGTAGCGCTCCCTCCCAGACCCCTGCGTCGGGGCAGGGCCCCAGACGTCCAAGTGGAGAGTCTCGAAGGGAGCGGTGGCCGGACGAAGGGACCGGCGACGCACGGAGAGCAAGGAGGGGCAAGCGAGGGAGGGAGCGACGGGAAGGTGCGTGGGAGACCTGTGACTAGTCCCTGACTGAGCATGCCACGAAGGCGAGGGATCGACGGGTGGCCAAGACGGTGGTGCCACAGGACGGTGCGGTGGGCGAGAGAGCGACAGGAGCAAGACGCAGCGACTGGACTGGACACAGCGAACGGACTGGACACACCCACCTGACCGGACTCTGCTACCGGGGGGGACGAAGCAACCCGACCAGACGCAGCTACCTGCGGGGGCGGAGTGTGCAGGACGAAGAGACCTGAGTGGGGCTCTCTGGTGAACGTGGCAAGAACTGCCCCGGTGGAAGAGTCCGTACAGATCGCAGTCCTCCCGTGCGCAGGAAAAGTGACTGTGATCCCCCGGTCCTGAAGGTATCCAACACCCACCAAGTTCCGAGAGAACGAGGGGATGTAGAGACCAGTGAGGAAACCAGAGGGGACAGCCGGGCACGGGAGGGTGGTCGAGCTACGAGCAACTGCTGGTCCTGAAGTAGGATCAGCCAGGGCAACTGGGACTGGAGCCGAAAGAGGTGTGACAGTGATGTGGTCGCGGAAGAAACACTGAGACGCGCCGGAGTCCAGCGTGAAGGAGAGCGACGCAACAGCAGTCGTCACGGCTGGGCTAGTGACTACACAAGCACCTACACTAAAAGCACAAGTACCGACACTAGCAACAGGCAAAGGTCCTAAGCTAGGTACACGTAAGCCAAGAGATCCGTACGTGACAGAATAAACAGCATCCATAGACATATCAAACACAGGGAAACCACTACGAAACAAACCGGGCCAGATCGGGGGAGCCGACTCAGGCCCAAAACGCTCACGGTAAAGGTCGTCGAGGCGGCTGTAGCAGCACTGTGCAGAGTGGTCAGGACGCCAGCAGGTAGTGCCAGCACCAGGGCCGGTCAGGATCCGGTACTGGCAGGGGCCGACGTCGCGGCCACCGCGACGAGCCCCCCAGCTGGCTGGGCCGCTGCTGCAGCCAACGCGACCTGAACCACCAGGCCCCCATGGCTGCTGAGGGCGCCACAGCTGCTGAGGGCGCCCCTGCCGCTGCGGAAGCCACTGCTGAAAAGGCCGCTGCTGCTGTCCCTGCTGCTGGAGAACCCTAGCGGACTCCATGATAAAAGCTAGCGGGGTGCAGGAGCGGCAGGCTAGGAGCGACAGGAGCGACAGGCTGCTGTGAAAAACGAGAACAACTAGGAGCGCAAGGTGAAACCAGGCGAGTAACTGCTGGAGCACGGAGCGAACTAAGCTAGGAGCGCCAGGTGAAACCAGGCGAGTAACTGCTGGAGCACGGAGCGAACTAAGCTAGGAGCGCCAGCTGAAACTAGGCGAGGAACGGCTGGAGCACGGAGCAAACTGAGCTAGAAGCGCCAGGTGAAACTAGGCGAGGAACGGCCGGAGCACGGAGCAAACTGAGCTACGAGCGAGGAGCGAGAACGGCTGGAGCGAGAATGGCTGGAGCTAGAAGCGGCGAGCTAGGGCTGGCTGGAGGTAGGAACGGCCGGGGCTAGAGACCGTAAGTGAGGCTGTCGGCTGCCGCTAGTAGAGCCACTGGCAGTGGAAAGTACGTGCGACAGTAGGGGCTGCAGTACTGACGGCTGCGGGATGTAGGCAACTGTGCAGGTCGTCCGGCAAGCAGGAACGCGGGCGACAGTCGCAGGCCCCCACTGTGAACCCCTTTTTTTTTTTTTTTTTTTTTTTTTTTTAGGGTTTAATTTATTTATTTATTTTCTGGCACTAAAGCACCCCGGGGCGCGCTGCCTGCAGGGTGTGCTGCCTGCGGGGCGCGCTACCCGCGGGGCGCGCCTCCTGCGGGGCGCGCTACCCGCGGGGCGCGCTACCCGCGTGGCGCGCTGCCTGCGGGGCTGGGGTGACGAGCCAGGGAGGGCGCCTGGGCGACGGGCTAGGACGGGCGCCTGGGCGACGGGCTAGGACGGGCGCCTGGGCGACGGGCTAGGGCGCAGGCCTGGGCGACGGGCTAGGACGGGCGCCTGGGCGACGGGCTAGGGCGCAGGCCTGGGCGACGGGCTAGGGCGGGCGCCTGGGCGACGGGCTAGGGCGGGCGCCTGGGCGACGGGCTGGGGCGGGCGCCTGGGCGACGGGCTGGGGTGGGCGCCTGGGCGACGGGCTAGGGCGGGCGCCTGGGCGACGGGCTAGGGCGGGCGCCTGGGCGACGGGCTAGGGCGGGCGCCTGGGCGACGGGCTAGGGCGGGCGCCTGGGCGACGGGCTAGGGCGGGCGCCTGGGCGACGGGCTAGGGCGGGCGCCTGGGCGACGGGCTAGGGCGTGGGCCTGGGCGACGGGCTAGGGGCGCAGGCTAGGGGCGCGGAGGGCGCTAACGCGCGGAGGAGGAGGGCGCTAAGGCGCGGAGATGGCGCGGAGGGCGCGGTGGCTAAGGCGCGGAGGGCGCGGAGGGCGCGGAGGGTGCTAGGGCGCAAGGGCGCGGAGGGCGCGGAGGGCGCGGAGTGTGCTAGGGCGCAAGGGCGCGGAGGGCGCTAGGGCGGGAGCTAGGCTAGGCTAGGCGAGAGGATCGACACCTACTCATGATACCATCTCAAAGTTAGCGAACAACGGAATGATTGGAATAGAAACGAATGGGGTACAAATGAGCAACCCTAGAAGCTGTACCCCCTAGAGTGCAACTCACTATAGCCTATCATATCAATGTTCAACATTTGACAAGTTCGCCTGAGACTGCAGATATCGGGTCTTATTCGGTACCATTTCTACTGGTTGGACCACTAGATATGGTACGTTACCTCCCTATTATTCATATACTTTATTTATACAGTATATTTATTGCTAGTATATGTTCTCAGAAATCTCAGACTAGTATTTAGGATTCGTCTGAAAAGCTAGACAATGTTACAGCTTTCGTCTTACAATCAGACAAGGAGCCAGGACCCGGTCTTGACATCAGACGGGCCATTTTACTAAAGTTAGCCCTGCCGACGACTTAGTTTTACTTGACACTCAGAACCTCCGACTGCCCATCACCCCGAAACTCCGCCCCCGATACTGCGGGCCATTTCGCATAAGCCACATGATTACACCCGTCACCGCCCACCTCCTCCTCCCTGCTGACTGGTACGTCAGCTCCTCATTCCACGTCAGCCTGCTTCGCCCTTACGTCCCGTCCACGAGCCAACTGCCACGCAATCGCCCAGCAAGCATGACAAGACCCCCAACTGAACCAATCATCACCCCCGAGAAAATCGTGAGTCACAGAGTTCGCGACCCTCGAGGAGCCCGAAGGATCGAGTTCTTGCTCCGCTGGAAGGACCGTACACCCACCGAAGACAATTGGGTTCCCCTGGACAGAATCGAAAACCACCCCGTCCTCACCGAGTATCTGCGCAGCCGAAATTTCAGGGATGTACATGCACTTTCGTAAGGAGGACCTCCGGGGGTAGTGTAAGGAAAATCCCTTTTCCTTACTTCGCATCCCTGCTCAACGCGTACATCACTGTAGCACCACAGTCAGCACCATTACCACTCGCAACCCTCGCATCGACAATCCTCCCGCCACCTTCGCACATCGCACCCCGACCTCACGGCTCGGCGGGTAACCCGCGCTCCGGGCCTCCGCTTCGACACTTTTCCCAACCTCAGTCCCAGGCCCGTCACGCGACAACCACAGTCCATTACCGTTACCACTGTAGTTTCGCTATATATTATTCGCTCATGCCTTCGCTCATTGGACTCTTGCTTCGATAGTGCAATTCTCGTTCGTTCACTCAATTGCACCCGTAACAAGGGGGATCAATACGGTATCAGCAACAGGATGCAAGCTTACAGCACTCGATATGTGTTTGCATCCTGGCAACAAGAATAGGCATTAGTATGTTAATATTGTAAGACGAAACTTACAGTACACTACATTGAAAGGTGTGGGTGGAAATGACCACACCAAATCCATCACTACCTTACACTCTCTAAAGCTTCAATCATGATCACACTATTTCCGCGAATCACCTGCAGAACGAAAGCAAAGCAACGGATTGTGAGTCCAGAGGAATACAGGGGGGTAAGGCAGCCCAAGAAAGGAACACCAACTCAACACAGATATTTCTGGTTCTAGCTGAAGCTGCAGAATAGAGGAAGCACAGAGCATAGCCATGAAACCAAGCAGAGAGAGGAGAGAGAAACTGCGAACCAAGTCAATGGAGCACAAGGAAGGCACAGCAGCAGTTGATGGGGGAGAGAGGGGAGAAGGGCGGTCATAGAGGGGAGAGCGGAAGCAAGGCGGGGCGCCACAAGGAGGGGTCACGCGAGAAAGGCGAGAATGGGATGGGTGGAAAAACGTGGGAATGACGGGGCGTCGGGCGAGAGAGGGGAGGAAGGAGGGGTCAAGAGGGTGAGAGGGAAGGAGAGACGGAGGTAGTGGGAGGCAGGGGTGGGGGGGAGGAAGGAGGAGGGAGGGAGGGAGGGAGGGAGGGAAGGAGGAAGGGAGAGAGGGAGACATGGTAACAGGAAAAAGTTCAGGCAAGACGAAATAAGGATGGACGGGAGGGAGGCACTGACCACCATGCCAATGTCGGTCCTGTCATCACCGCTCATCTCAACAGTGTTGTCGAGCACGAGATTCATGAACTGGTCGAAACCCCTCAGCACACCCACCACCGTGCGATTCGCGTTCAGCTTTACTGCAGATAGGAAAAGGGGACCAAGAAGGAGGGAAGCGAGCAGGGGGGTGGGAGGAGGAAGAGAGGAGGGGGGTGAGCAAGGAGGGGAAGAGTGAGGAGGGGGAGGGAGACCTCCACAGTGCTGTCGAGCACTAGGTCCATCAACTGGTCGAAGCCCCACAGCACCCCCACCACCATGCGGTTCGTGTTCAGCTTTACTGCGCGCAGGCAGGGGAGGGGTGTGGGAGCGGGAGGAGAGGAGCGGAAAGTGAGGAAGGGGAAGGGGATTGGAAGAAAGGAAGAACAAGAGTGGAGGTTTTAGAGGAGTGTGAAAAAACTAAAAACAACCATGAGATGCCGCATTCGTTGATGGAAAGAAGGGGGAGAAGTAGGAGGAAGCGACAGAAGGAGCGTAGAGTCGGTGTTGGATATTTGTAAGAGCAGAGCAAGGGGGGCATGAGTGAGTTGCGTGAAGAGTTATCGCGCGAGTGACCATCAATGACAGGGTAGATGTGTGCGTGGGAGTGTGGGTGGAAGAACCAGTGTGTGAGTGAGAAAGCAGCTTCGTGAGGGAGTGTCGATGTGCAAACACGTGGGGAGCCAATGGGCAGTGCGGCTGAATAGAAGCAGGAACGGAACGCTCCTCTGATCTTGACGGAAGCATTGGAAATCAATCTGTGGAGCAGGAATGTAGAGAGAGTGCAGCGAGAATGGAGCGAGAGTGCAACGAGAGTGCAGCGAGAGTGGAGCAACACTCACTGTTTAACTTCTTGTCCATGTACCTGCGTCGAACCGGGAAGGAGTGGGGAAGGGAAAGCAGGCAGGAAGGGGAAGGGGAGGCGAGAGGGGGGAAAAGGGAGGAGGGGGGACGACAGGCAGGGGAGGAGGAGGCGTCGGGGAGGGAAAGGTAGTGACTTGTTGAGAACACGGGAAGCGCGAATTTGATGAAGATTATAAAGACCGCTGAACGCGAATTTCGAAGCTACCCTCGTGGCTAACGAGGGAGATTAGGGTTTCAGGGAGCAAAAATGAGTAACTTTTCGACTCGTGGTTCCAGGGTTCAAGCCTTCGCTGCACCCTAAAAAAGACGGTCCGATGACCGGAAAAAAATCAACGAAGCCAGTGGAAACAAACGACGAATGCGATCAGGGAGCTATGTGTGGGGGATTTGGAAATGGAAGCGACTTGGCGTCAAAAGAAAAGGCAAATGAAAGAAACCGCAAGAGCAGCTTACTTTTTCAAATCGGGAGCCTGGCCTGATCTACTCATGGTGATCTGTGGATTGTAGAGACCACGCTGTTGAATGGGAAACCCTAACGACCGCTAAAGGCAGTGGCTGGAAGAACGGCTCCAAGTCTCTCCTGTGGTATAATGTTAAACTTAGATCCGTCCGTCCATGTGCAATCTGGCACCTAAGTGTGAACGCGCAAGGAGGGAGGTGGTGGTGCCGCGACAAAGAGGTAAAGGAGGATCAGCAGCAGACCTCGCGAAAGGAAACGAACAGATAATCGATGTTTCAGTGGTAAGCCTGGCTATACTCGTTAGAACCTGCGGGTTTGCCGATTAGGACCTCAAGTGTCAAACTAGTGTTTTCCACGATAGGTGTTACATGTTTTCTGGTACTAACTATCATATATGAATTATAGAATGAGATTCAGGTCAAAATAAAAATTTTCATAGAGAAATATGAGCACAAAACTGTTTATTTAGCGCGCTGTAAAAAAAACTCAGTTAATTCACCAAATCAATTTAGGTCAGAATTTACAAGCGCGCTAAGGCGGCATCCAAGAGGCTCGGTGCCACTCGTCCTGGACTGGATGATGACGAGTGCCGGGTCTTGAGCCACATCCTCGACAACACAGCACAACCGGCCACGTGGTCTAAAGGGTTCATGGCCATCTGGTCGAACTCAAGGGCTGCTTTCCGTCCCCCTTATAAGCTCGGGATGGGTACGGAGGGTGTTATCCCCCTAGGCCCATCAGCTACAGTTACGACTGCCGATGTATTTTGCAAATTTTAGTGTATCTTGCATAAAAAAAACTCAATCAATTTAGCACATCTGATTAGCCATACATTCATCAAACCCCCAATCGATACTCTTATTACCGAGTTTCTGTTTGCCTTTCCTGTCACGCAAGGAAGCGCCTCGCCTCAGCAGCACCCGATGGTGCAAGTGACGGCGATACGAAGTGGCGCTGGCGGCGAGCGAATTCGGTTTCCACTTTGACGAAACTCTTCTTTTGATCGACGTCTCGGCTCGGACCATGCGGGATTCGCATGCACGTTCCATGAACCCAGCAGGGACAATTGGTCAACCTGCAGGTCAGCAGAAACAGCAAAGCAGCATCTCATGAGCTGAACGTCATCCGAGTCGCATGTGCAACCTCGGATTTACCGCGAGCCCCCAGCCCGCCCCAGCCCCAGGCAGACACCCTGACCTGACTTCCGTCCCGTCAGCACGACGCGTGCTCTGAACTAGAAGCAGCCAATTGCAAGAGGTCTTGCATTCAGCGACTTTCTCAAGCCGCGTTTTCAACATGGTCTTTTGAGGTGGAAGGAAATTCGGTCTTTGTTTCAGTATGGTTTGGTGCGGTAGTGGGAAGCAGGCTCGGTGAGTCGCTGACTGTACGCTGAGCACCAGCCCCTTCCAAGGCATATTCGCGGTTGGTCGGTTCGCAGCTCGTCTGCAAACAGGCATCGCCGTTCCGCGGTGGTTCGTCCCCCCTCCCCAGGTCAGCCATGGCCACGCGGAAGGGAATTTGCGTTCAGTGGCTCAGCTCACCATCACCAGCCAGCCCACCACCCGCCGCCACTACACTGTAGCCCAAATTCGCTCGGCGCAGTTTGCCGTCACTGAGTTTCATTTCATCTGCCCGACCAACAAGCGGAGGTTGCGCAAGACGCGCTGAGGGGTCATCTGGGCTGGGAGTCAATAACGCAAAAACGCCAGCACATAGCTGGAAAAGGATTGGATGGCATGGCATCCCACACCCATAATGCAATTCATCGTCGCCACCGAACGAGAGAATGCTCTGATTGGTCAAGGATAGTCGTGCTCGTTCGCCGAAGCACCGAGGAAGTGTGTGCGACGACGAACGAGAGTACACCGACACATCCAAAAACCGTCGCACATCAGTGCCGCCGACCCATAAAACCACGCGATAGGCAGTTTCAACACTCCGTACTGTTTCGCTCCAATAATCCAGTCCAGCCCGTCGCATCTTCGTCGCATTCACTCATCCCCAGCAGCACATCCGCCCCCACCCCACCCCTACACCGCCGCAAGAGGCGGTGTCTGCGCGACGGACCAACAAAAGGCACATTTGCAGCGCTGACTTGAATCACTCGACGTGACGCACAACTCAGTCCACCACACGCAAGGTTCTTTTTCGTCCCCCCTCGCACGCCAATAGCAAGCAGTACCAAGCCAAGCCAAACACCAGCAGTCAGTCAACCAGTTTCGGTTTCATCCAGGCCAGCAGCGACGATCAGGTCGTGTAGCTCTTTGTTTACTTTTCCCGCAAGGCAGCTTGTCGCGGACGCTTTTCTCTTTAGGACCCAGAGCGCTGTTAGACGCTTATTGTTATCTTAGCCTAGACGCGTTCGCCCTCGATTGTTTTCTCTAGCGGCTGAATCAGCACCAGAAGCATCTAAACACAGGCAGTCACAATCCCTGCTCGTCAGATTGAAAGATTGTCGGGATTCTGCACCGTTCTTTTAGAGTCAAAGATACTCGCGATGACGGTGCCTCTTCCCTCCACTCCTCCGCCCCCTCGGGATTTCCTCACCGAGTACTCTCTAGGCCGTCACTTAGGCAAGGGCGCGTTTGGCGAGGTCTTAGAATGCACGCATAACGCGACGGGTCGCCAGTTCGCCTGCAAGAGAATCGACAAGCGATTAATCACCTCCGAGTCGGACGCCGCGGAAGTGCGGAAGGAGGTCGCGATTCTGCAGCAGCTCACCGCCGCGGGCCCGAGCCGCCACGGCGGAATCGTGCAGCTCGTCGAGGCGCTAGAAGACGGCGCCGCGGTGTACCTCGTTATGGAGCTATGCGAGGGCGGGGATCTATTCGAGCTGATCAAATCCGATCACGCGGCGGGCATGCCGGAGGACATGGCGCGGGAGATATTCCGCCAGGTGGCGGTGGCGGTGGCGTACTGCCATGCGCGCGGCGTGCTGCATCGCGATATTAAACCCGAAAACATCCTCTTCACAGGCCCCAACCAGTCCGCACCCGCTGCAGATTCCTGCGCGGAATTCGGCGCAGAATTTGGGGCCGCGGAATGCCCGCAGGAAGATTCCGAGGATTATTCCGCCGCCGCGTGGCGCTGGCGGGTGCGCGTGGCGGACTTCGGGCTCGCGCTCTTCCTCCCGCACGGGCAGATGGGGCACGGCATGGCGGGGAGCCGCTTTTACACCGCGCCGGAGATGGTCCGCGGGCGCAAATACGGCAAGCGCGCGGACGTCTGGAGCATGGGCGTGGTGCTCTGCGCCATGCTCACGGGGCGCGTGCCCTTCGCGGGGAAGGACCGCGCGGACGCGGAGGGCCTGCGGAGGTCGATTCTCCGCGGGGCGATCAACTTCTCCGCGCCCGCGTGGGCGCCCGTGAGCACGGGCGCGCGCGACCTCGTTCGGCGCATGCTGGAGGTGGATCCGCGCAGGCGGCTCAAGGCGGCGGAAGTGCTGCAGCACCCGTGGGTGCTCGGGCTCGAGCTGCCGGATCTCACGGCGGCAGATGCGGCGGCGGATGTAATGTCGGCGGACCCTGCGGGATCCGGGGAAAAGGTTGTTCCAGTGAAAGCGCAAGCGGAATCAAATCTCGCGGTAGCGGAATCAAATCTCGCGGTAGCGGTAAAGGCGTCGTGTCCTGTGGATTCGAAGGAAGCGGGAGAAGTGGAGAGAGAGAGGAGGATGAATGCGAAGGAGAAGGAGTTTCAGCAGCAGACGGAGCAGCAAGCGGAGGTTAGCACCCGGGCGGTTTCTAGCAGCGCTGCTCCTCCGCCCGTCGCTCCCCCAGCCTTTTCTCCCCGAGCTCCACCCACTGCCCCACGCGTCGCCTCCCCTCTCCGCTCCGCTGCTTTTCCCTTTCGCCCTGCGTCCCCTGGTCGTCCTGTTGGGTCTCCAATTCCCATTCGCCCCATCGCTCAGCCGCCTCTTGGTTCCGCTACAGAGCGATTCAATAAGGTCTGGCAGCAACAGGATCGCCCGCAGCAGCTCCCAACGTGCCACCCAACCACCCCGCCCCCTCCATCACCAGTCTGCACCGCTCTCAAAACCCCCTTTCCTCTTTGCGGAAACGCACCTCCCCTTGCCCCGCAACAACCGCTCAACCTGCCCGCACCAGCAGTTTCTTTCTCGGGCTGCCCGTCGTTCAACTCCCCCTGCCCGTCACAGTCCTCCGCGTCTCAGTCCACCCCACCCTCCTCCGCCTCTCGCTCCTCCCCGTCCCGCTCCTCCCCACCTCCTCTCTCCTCCTCTCTCTCCCCATCGCTCTCCAACTCCACCGCCACCTCAGCGTCAACTTTCACTCGAATGGAAGCAGCAGACATGGATGATTGCGGCATGGCGGATGGGGCTGGTGGCGTGGATGGCATGGCTGCGGATGGCATGGCAGGGGACGCGTCTCTTTCCATTCCGCTCAGCCTCTGCCCGCCGCCCATTGCTGTGTGCCGGAAAAAGAGCCGCCGGGAGGAGTACGAGGAAGCTTTTGTTCCTGGCTCTCCCTGGTTCTCCCCGCGGCCTCTACCTCTCACCCCCGCCCAGTTGACCCACAAGCAGCAGCAGCAGCTGCACCAGAAGGGCAGGAGGGAGGAGTGTGAGGAAGCTTCCTCGGCTTTCTCACCCTGGTTCTCCCCTCGGCCTCTCCCGCTTGTCGCCGCCCCGTTTTCACATGAGAAGCAGCAGCAGAAGCACCACTACCATCAGCAACAGCAGCGGCAGCAGCAGCAGCAGGTGCATTGCCCTGTGGGGTCATCCCTGTCAGGGGATGAGTTCAGCAACAACAGCAACATGTGCGGAGCCTCCTCGGCTCTCTCCTTCCAAGCAGCTTCCCGCTGCTTCATGGCCTTCAATCCCTGGGGATCTCCGTGCATCCACACCATGCCTGATACCACCACCACCACCACAACCACCACCACCACCACCACCACCACTGGTGGTTCCAGTGGTGGCATTGGATTCAGTAACCATGCTCCTGATTCAGGGGTTGAAGTCCCGGCAGAGGGTTTCAAGAAAATTCCCCTGCAGTCTTTGTCGAATGAGAACCAGCCGCCTGTTTATGTGGCTTGGGAGAGTAGGCGCACATGTGGCTTGGGTAGGTTTTGCTCTTAGGTTAATGGCTTTGTCTGTATTATTCACTCATTAATTTAACATTATGCTTGCTAGTCTGGATCAAGATTAGTCACCAGAGACAATGTTCCAGTTGTTATCTAGATGTTGGTCAGACTGTTGGTCTCAAACGGTTACCACAATTAAAATCCATCCATTATCTAGTGTTTCGATGTACGGTACGTGCAAATTAACGAGTATACCCATAGCGGCTTCGCTGCTCAGGAACAGAAAACCAAGCAAGCTCCTCTGAAGTCCTTGCTCTTCCCAAAACTAGCCGTTGCTCCTGGTGACATTGACGCGGCTCGATTTCCCCCCTCCGTTATCCACGCTCGGTTGTTGTCTTCATTTTAGCTCTCGACTAGGGACCCTTCGTCGTTAAATATACGGTATTTGGTTCGTCGCACAAGATACTTGGTTACTAACGAGGATGCGCCACTGCCGTGCACACTGTCGCCCGTTACAGCAGTTTCTGTACTCGTTACAAGCTAATCGACGGCATGATTTCTGCCGCGAATTCGCGAGTGCAGTGGGTTTTACGAGAGCAGCGCGACCGGCGGCGGAAAGAGCGGCGGGAGTCGCTTTGAGAGTAAACAGTCTATTAGCAACACCATCACTCCAGCACCCTCGTATCAAGCAGGAAAATACGAGCGCGTTCGTATTAAAGGCGTTCAGTTCATCGCGTCGCGCGGGCGAGCATGTCGAACAAAGGAAGTCTAGAACCTTCAATATCGCGTCGCTCGTGCCGCAGCGAATGGCCGAATCGCCACGATCCGATCACTCGAGATCACCAGGCGCAGTACTCCGCGGAAGCGTCGATCCGTCTAGTATTCGCGGCTTCGATACAAACAGACTCGCTTCTAGCGCCCGATTACACTCAGCGAATCCGGACGCTGCCGCTCTCCCCACCCGGCGGATCTGCTCCGCCTTTGTTCCTTCCGCCAATCCAATTCCGCCATGCCCCCTCGCGCACGCGCACGCGAACGCGCATCCCCATCCCCACTCTCACAACTACTCTCGCACGCGGCGGAGAATCGACACCCACTCGCCCCGTCCATTCCATCTCGGCTCGGGAGAAGGGATCAGACCCGTAGGCGGCGAGAGCGATCGTGAACAACTCGCAGGGCTTACGAAGGGTTTTAACAATCCAGATTCTCCTTTCGCCGACTTGCTTTCCGCCGACTCCCCTCTCGCCATCGCCGCGAATCCGCCCCATGCCTCCGCCGCTTCCGCTGCTCTCCGTAATGGTGGATTAGGATTAGGCATCCGGCACGCTTCTTGGTCGAGTAGCAGCAGCAACCTGAGCAGCGGCGGCGGCGGCGGAGGTGGAGGCGGAGGGTTTCTGGGTTTTTCGTCGCCTTCCAAGAAGTTTCAAGAGAAACGCTTGATTGGGTGGGTGTGCATGGCTCCTCGCCTGCTCTTCCCGTGACACATGACCCATGATGACCCATGATGACCCATGATGACCCATGATGACCCATGGTGACCCATGATGACCCATGATGACCCATCATGACCCATGATGACCCATGATGACCCATGATGACCCATGATGACCTATGATGACCCATGATGACCCATGATGACCCCTGATGACCCATGATGACCGATGATGACGCATTATGACCCATGATGACCCCTGATGACCCATGATGACCGATGATGACCCATGATGACCCATGATGGCCCATGATGACCCATGATGACCCATGATGATCCATGATGACCCATGATGACCATGATGACCCATGATGACCCATGATGACCCATGACCCTCTTCTGCTCCCCCAGCTATTCACCAGAGCAGGTGTTTGACGTGGTGGCCGGGGTGGAACACTACTCTGCCTTCCTGCCCTGGTGTGTGGGCTCGCATGTGCTGTGGCGGGCACCGGATGGCATGGAGGCGGAGTTAGAGATCGGGTTCCACATGCTGCGGGAGAAGTACCTTTCGCGGGTTACCTACAAGCGACCGCTGTTTGTTACCGTGAGTCGTGTGTTTGGGTGCACAGAGCACATGTTCTGAGTGTCAAGGGTGCATGCTCGGAACGCATTCATGAAGGTCGTAGCCGGAAATTGAAGGGCGGAGCCGAAAATGCGAGAGAGTTCCGCACTCTCACAAGTCACCTACAAACGACCAGTCTTCAAGGGTGCATAGAGCACATTGAGTCCCCCACCCCCCCCCCTCCTCCCAAGGTACGCCCTTCAAGAGCACGTGCCCACAGCTCAGTGCTCGTTCCACACAGAGCACCATCTCAACCAACACAGTGCTCCTCCACCATCTCAACCAACACAGTGCTCCTCCACCATCTCAACCAACACAGTGCTCCTCCACCATCTCAACCAACACAGTGCTCCTCCACCATCTCAACCAACACAGTGCTCCTCCACCATCTCAACCAACACAGTGCTCCTCCACCATCTCAACCAACACAGTGCTCCTCCACCATCTCAACCAACACAGTGCTCCTCCACCATCTCAACCAACACAGTGCTCCTCCACCATCTCAACCAACACAGTGCTCCTCCACCATCTCAACCAACACAGTGCTCCTCCACCATCTCAACCAACACAGTGCTCCTCCACCATCTCAACCAACACAGTGCTCCTCCACCATCTCAACCAACACAGTGCTCCGCCACCATCTCAACCAACACAGTGCTCCTCCACCATCTCAACCAACACAGTGCTCCTCCACCATCTCAACCAACACAGTGCTCCTCCACCATCTCAACCAACACAGTGCTCCTCCACCATCTCAACCAACACAGTGCTCCGCCACCATCTCAACCAACACAGTGCTCCGCCACCATTCCAACAACCACTGTGAACTCCCCTCTGTGCTACGACCCTCCCGCCCGTCTCACGCTTCTCTCTTCTCTCGGCCCTCCTAAATTCTTTTCCACTCTCCCAGTCCAATCCTCCTCAGGCTCGTTCTGCAGACACGGGCAGTTCTTACCTGGGAGTTCCTACCTGGCAGTCTCCCCAGATCCTGCCTCCTCATTGCCTTCCTAAACGCTCTTCCCTACTGTCCCTCTTCCTGCTCTCGCAGGCTCGTTAAGCGGACACGAGTCCCTTCCACCCTCTGGACAACCATTGGGAGTTCTTGTCTGGCCGCCTCTCCGGCTCAAACCCCTCCTCATTGCCTTCCTGAACGCCCTTCTTCTAACCTCCCCATCATTTCTGCAGGCACGCTCAGCAGACATGGGTCGCTTCCACCATCTGGACAACCACTGGGAGTTCGCTCCTGGCCGCCTTCCCGGCTCGAACCCCTCGTCCTTGCCTTTTGTATCACTCTTCCTTCCTGCCCCTCCCTCAGGCGCGTTCAGCGGGCACGGGGCTCTTCCACCATCTGGACAACCACTGGGAGTTCTCCCCTGTGCTCAGACCCCTCGGCCCATCTCACATTTCTCTTGCACCTGTGCCCTTCTTCTAACCTCCCCGCCATTCTCGCAGGCTCATTCTGCTGACACGGGGCTCTTCCACCATCTCGACAACCACTGGGAGTTCGCCCCTAGCCTGGCCGCCTCCCGGGTTCAAACCCCTCCGCCATGACTTCCTGAGCACTCTCCCCTCCTGCCCCTGCTTTCCTATCCTCAGGCTCGTTCAGCGGACACAGGTTTATTCCACCATCTGGACATCCACAGGGAGTTCGCCCCAATGCTCAGAACCGCCCTCTCGTTCCTCTGCCCTATCAGGCTCGTTCAGCGGACACGGGGCTGTTCCACCATCTGGACAACCACTGGGAGTTCGCCCCTGGCCGCCTCCCCGGCTCCTGCCTGCTCTCCTTCTCCGTTGACTTCCAGTTCCGCTCCCTGCTCTACACCCAGGTGTGCTCTACACCCAGGTGTGCTCTACACCCAGGTGTGCTCTACACCCAGGTGTGCTCTACACCCAGGTGTGCTCTACACCCAGGTGGGCTCTACACCCAGGTGGGCTCTACACCCAGGTGGGCTCTACACCCAGGTGGGCTCTACACCCAGGTGGGCGCTACACCCAGGTGGGCTCTACACCCAGGTGGGCTGGGCTGTAATTCCAGGTTATCTAAGGTGGATTTAGATGCACCTAAGCTCCACAACACACAAGTCCATGCGTCTGTGGTCACTGCAATCAGCTACCGCGGCACGGTTACAGCGAACATTGTCACATTTGTTATGAAATAAGTAGTTCACCTTAAAGGTCAGAGGCACTCTTTTTGTTGACTTCAGCTGTTGGCAGATTCTCCTCCTCGCCGAATGAAGCTTCCTCCTTTGCGGCGGTTTAACCCTAGCGAAATGCCGTATTTTGTTTTGTTTCGTTCTATTCTGGTTTCTTTCGCATCGTCCCTACAGTTTCTGGACCTCTTTTTTGACGAGGTGGTGAGCAGTCTTGTCAACTCGTTTGAGCGGCGGTGCGAGGAAATTTATGGTCCAAGTAAGGTAGTTATGACAATTTAATGTGTATATTTTTGGGGTTACGCCTTTCCCAACAATCTACAAGTCAATCTGGACACGAAAGCCTGGAGTGGTGGTAGCATGGAATTTTTATATATTTATCTGATATTCTTAATCTTTCTATCTGTAACGGATACAATGAATCGAGGTAGCGAGGATTGCACTAAGGTGTCAAACAAGTACAAAATGTGAGCGAATGCATGAGCGAACATTTGTCAAAGTTATACTCTACAGTTTGTTTAGGCTGTAGTGGGGTAGTTACTATGGGGTGCAGTAAGTTTAGGGTTTCCTACTTGTACCCACCACTTTCCTAGTGCAAACACACTTGTTGATTCTGACATGGTATTACGAGCCTAGGTTAGGAACCTAGGACCGCTTAGTCCTAAGGGCCCACCGTTCCGCTAGAAGCGCCCTCGTGCGCCCCACCTCCTCAGCGCCCTCGTGCGCCTCTCTGCTAGTGCGCCCTCGCGCGCCCTCCCTCTCACGCTGCCCGTTTGCAGCCCGCTAGCCGCCCGAGCGCGGCCCCCCCGTTTTTAGCGCGAGCAGCCCGCTAGCCGCCCGTGCGCGGCCCGTTTTTTCTCGCGCGCGCCAGTAGGCCGCCGCTCGCCCGTAGGCCGACGCTCGACCAGCCGCCGCCCGCCCGCAGGTCGCAGCCCGCGCGCAACGGCTGTCGCGCGTCGGCTGCTGCAGCTCGCGCTTAGCCGCCGCACACACGCAGCCGCGGCCCGCGCGCAGCCGCACCCTAGACGCGGCCGCGCACCGTGCACAGGCCCGTCGTCGAGCCGCCCTACCTGCCCGAGCCGCGCCGCGCCGTCCTGCCCGAGTCGCGCCGCCCTTACCGAGCCGCGCTGCCCCACCTGCAGCAACTGCTGCTTCTGTTCCTGCTGCTACTGCTGTTCTTACTGCTACTGCTGCTACTGCTACTACTGTCACTGCTACTGCTGCTATTGCTACTGCTGCTACTGCTACTGCTGCCACCATGGCTACTCCCACCATTCTCTCTTTCGATGCTGAGGGCCGCCCGGTTCAGTTTGATGCTTGGCTCGACGACCTACACCTGTTCCTACAGATCACTGCTAAGGACGATATCTCACTGTATGATCACGTGTCCGGAACCGCTCCCGCACCTGCTGAGACTGCTGACAGTACTGCTCGCTCCCAGTGGCAGACTCGTGACGCTCACGCTCGCCTAGCCATTCGCAGCCACCTACCGCTAGATGAGCGCGCGCATTTTGGCCAGCACAAGATTGCTAAGGCACTGTACGATGCTGTAGTAGCGCGCTACTCCTCGCCTGCCTCTGCTACGATCGGCCGTCTCTCGCTGCCCTATCTTTTCCCCGATCTGGCCGCCTTTCCCACAGTCCCTGACCTCATTATTCACCTCCGCACTAGTGACACTCGCTACCGAGCCGCCCTTCCTGCTGAGTTTCTAGCCAAGAATCCTCCCCCGATGTACCTCGTTCTCTACCACCTAGTCACCCGTCTCCCTGACTCCCTTCGCGCAGTCAGGGACCACTTTCTCGCCCTCTGCCCCACCGAGCTCACCGTTGACCTGCTCGAGAAGCACCTGCTTGCAGATGAGGCTAGCATAGTCTGTAGGTGCCTCTCGTGGCGACCCCCGCACGCCCTTCTTTTCTTTCGTCCTGCACAAGAACAGGTGGAGGTGGCGGTAGCTGCCGTCCCTGGAACTGTTGGTTGGGGTCCTTGTAGGGTTTCAGTAGCTGCACATGGAAAGCATTGTGAAGCTTCCACGTATCTGGTAAGCGCAAGCGGAATGTAACTGGTGTCACCTGTGCCTCAACGAGAAAAGGACCACAGAAGCGAGGCCGGAGTTTGGATGGGAGGTGAGACAGGTTCAAGTTGCGCGTGTCAAGAAGCACCTGATCTCCGACTGCTACTGAGTGATCACGTCGCTGACGATCGGCATACTGCTTCTGGGAGGTCTGCATCGTGGTGAGTCGTCGCTGAGTCTTCTCCCATAGCTGCTGCATGGTGGTGACGAAGTCATGTGCGGCTTGGACGTGTGCCGGTGTGGTAGGCTGCTGTGGTGTGAGTGGTTCCCGTCCGTAACACAGGAAAAAAGGAGTTTTCCCTGTGGCCGCATGTGACGCGTTGTTGTAAGCGAACTCTAGGGTCGGTAACTGTGTGTCCCAGTGGCTGACGTCGTCCTTGCAAGCTGTGCGCAGTAACTGTTCAACCACTTGATTGAGTCGTGTCAGAATGTTATTGTTCTCTAGCCTGCAGTGGGGTACTCTATAGCGAGTACAACCCCTTAGGGTTTCCTATATGTATCCTGCTGCTTTCTAGTGAACCCCCCTCTTTTTGCCTAAACTTCTCTTGCCTAGCTAGGGCTTACCTAGCTATGGCTCCTAACTTTGCTTACTATCTCAACATGCTATCAGAGCGGGTACGCTCCTGGCCTGTGGGCCCACCTGCTTCCGCTGCTACTCGATCTGTCGCACGCCCCGTGGCGTGCGACGCATTTTTCATCCCGCCGCGCGCGGCCCCGTTGCCGCTCTTCGCGGCCCCGTCGCCGCCCTTCGCGGCCCCCACTCGGCCCCTCCCCCTCCCTTCGCGGCCCCGTCGCCGCCCGCAGCGGCCCCGTCGCCGCCCGCAGCGGCCCCGTCGCCGCCCTCTACGGCCCCGTCGCCGCCCGCAGCGGCCCCGTCGCCGCCGCAGCGACCCCGTCACCGCCCGCAGCGGCCCTGTCGCAGCCCGCAGCGGCCCCGTCGCCGCCCGCAGCGGCCCCGTCGCCGTCCGCAGCGGCCCCGTCGCCGCCCGCAGCGGCCCCGTCGCCGCCCGCAGCGACCCCTTCGCCGCCCGCAGCGGCCCCGTCGCCGCCCTCCGCGGCCCCGTCGCCGCCCGCAGCGGCCCCGTCGCCGCCCTCTGCGGTCCCGTCGCCGCCCTCCTGCTGCCCCTTCGCGGCGCCCTGGGGAGCCGCGCGCGGCCCCTCGCTGCCCCGTGGTGGCGCCCTGGGGGCCGCGCGCCGTTCCCCTCGCCGTCCCCCGCGCTCCTTCCCTGTCCCACCCGTTTTAGGGTTTTGGGGTGAGGAGTGTGGGGGTGGCAGTTGTGGGGGTGTCGGTTGTGTGCGCCGTCCCCTACTCCTCCTCCTCCTTCGTCTCCCACTACTGCAGCTGTCGCTGAGGGGGGTGGATGTGTGGGAGCCTGGGGTTTAGGGTTTAAGGGGGGGTGCCGTGGGAGTGGAGCTAGGGTTTGAGCAGGGGGTGTGTGTCGAGGGTGTGGGGCAGTTGGAGGAGGTTGTGTGAAGGTAGCTGTCGTGTCGCCTGCAGCGCCTGTAGTCCGTCGCCCTTGCTTCGGTAGCCAGTGAGCCTGTTGCACCAGTCGCCAGTGGGTCCGTTGCTCCTGCCGCTCGTCTATAGCCGCGGAGCCAGTCACTCCAGTAGTCCGTCGCCCTTGCTTCGGTAGCCACTGAGTCAGCCGCTCCTGTGCCCGTGCCTCTGCAGCTTCAGTCGTTGCCTCCCATCTTCTCTCCTTCCACAGTTCCTCCTCCTCCTCACTTGCCCTCTGTGATAGCCTCTAGCTTTGCTTGCAATTGTGCACCTGCTCTATGACTGTGTGCTCTGCTGATTACACCCCACTTTGGCTATGGGGGTGTGTCAGAATGTTATTGTTCTCTAGCCTGCAGTGGGGTACTCTATAGCGAGTACAACCCCTTAGGGTTTCCTATATGTATCCTGCTGCTTTCTAGTGAACCCCCCTCTTTTTGCCTAAACTTCTCTTGCCTAGCTAGGGCTTACCTAGCTATGGCTCCTAACTCTGCTTACTATCTCAACAAGTCGCTCTGTCTGTCCGTCAGTCTGTGGGTGGTATGCTGAGGACATCGCAAGTTTAGTCCCCAATAATCCCATGAGCTCCTTCCAAAACTTACTGGTGAATTTTGGGTCTCTGTCTGAGATGAGTGTAGCGGGGATGCCGTGGATGGTGATGATGCGGTCGAAGAAGAGGCGAGCAGTTGCTTCTGCTGTGGCGGTGGCGTTGGTCGGTAGGAAGTGCCCCATTTTGGAGAACTTATCGATGACTACGAGGATGGAATCATGTCCCCGTGAGGTCGAGGGAAGTCCTGTGATGAAGTCGAGACTAACGACCTGCCATGGCTGCTCCGGTACGGGTAGAGGCTGAAGTAACCCTGCTTTCTTCTGCTTGCTGCTCTTCATCCGCTGGCACGTGTCGCAGGAGGTGACGAACTGCTGCACATCTGCTGCCATCCGGGGCCAGTAGTAATACTTCGCCATTCCTGCTAACGTCTTGTTGCTCCCGAAATGTCCCGCGTATGGTACGTCGTGGAACTCCTCCAATAGGATCTGCCGTAGCGGGGCGTAATTCGGTACCCAAATCTTTCCTGAACCCTTCCTTACCGCTAGGTCTTTCTCCCACTG